ATTGAAATAAAATGGCTTTTAGATAGTGGTTGTACAGACCACATTATTAATGATGAAAAATTATTTGATAAATGTAAATTACTTAAAGATCCCATTAATGTTTATTTAGGAGATAATAGGGTTGTAAAAGCTACTAAAATTGGAAATGTTTTAAGTTACTTTGATGCTTTTGGTAAAAAGAGTTTAGTAGATATGCAAAATGTTTTCTATGTTAAAGATATGAAATCAAATTTGATAAGTTATAGCAAAATAACAGAAAATAATAAGATTATTTCTCTAGGTAATATTTCAAAAGTTTTTGATAAACTTGGTAATATAACAGCAGTTGCTTTAAAAAATAATGGCTTATATATTATGAAAAGTAAATTAAAATCAGTTGAATTGCATGTAAATGTTGCAAATAAAGATATGAATAATATGAATCAAAAGGAAAAATGGCATCGTTTATTAGGTCATGTAAATTTTAAATATTTGAATATTTTATCTAAAGATCAGCTGTTGAATGGAATTCCTAATGAGTTTGAATCTGAATTTATGAAATGTAAGATTTGTATTGAAAGTAAAATGCATAATATTCCGTTTGTAAACAGTAGAAAAAAAGCTAAAGATATTTTAGAGATTGTACATACTGATGTTTGTGGGCCTTTTCGAACTACTGGGTTTAAAGGTGAAAATTATTTTGTTTCTTTCATTGATGATTATAGTAAGATTTCTAAAGTATATGCTATAAAATCAAAAGCAGAAGTATGTGATTGTTTGAATGAATATACGAATGAAAGTGAAAATTTGACTGGAAAGAAAATAAAGATTTTAAGATGTGATAATGGGAAAGAATATTTGAACAGTAAAGTCTACAGATTTGCAAAAGAAAGGGGTATAGTAATTGATAATTGTCCTACATATGTACATGAATTGAATGGGACTGCAGAACGGTTTAATCGAACTATAATGGATATGTCAAGATGTTTGTTGGCTGAAGCAGATATTCATAAAAAATATTGGCCTGAAATAGTTTGTGCTGCGGTTTATTTGAAAAATCGTACTTTATCTGATACAATTGAAAAGAAAACTCCATATGAAATATTTTTTGGACAGAAACCTGATGTTTCTAATTTGCGTTTGTATGGAAGTAAAGTTTTTGTACGAAGACCAGAACAGAAGAGAATCTCTAAATGGGATAAGAAAGCTGATATGGGAATTTTAATTGGTTATAGTAATGTTGGTTATCGTGTATTATTAAATGGCAGAGTCATTGTTGCTAGACACGTGGATATTGTTGAAGAAAACGTTAAGTGTATAGGTTTAGACTTTAACGAATCAGATAATGATAATAATGAAGAGTGTTACCCTGATAAAATTGATGAAAGCTCTGAAAATGACTCAATAGATGAAACTTTTGAAAGTACAAATGAAAGTATGGATGATAGTGTGAATAAAAATGAACCTGAGTTACCTAGATCTCACAGAGCCAAAAATCCTCCAAAGAAATTTGATGACTACTATGTATATAATAGTAGTATTTTTGTAAATATGTGTAGAACTGATATACCACATACATTTGAGGAGGCGATAAATTCTAATGAAAGTAAGTATTGGAAAACAGCTATGGACAAAGAAATTGATAGTTTAAATAAAAGTAAAACTTGGAAATTGGTTAAAAATGATACAAACAAAAATATTCTGGATGTTAAATGGGTTTATACTAAAAAGTCTGATAATACTTATAAAGCTAGATTGGTTGTACGAGGTTTTCAACAAACTGATGAAATTGATGATATTTATTCACCTGTGGCTAAAATGCAAACATTAAAGATTTTATTGTCATATTGTTGTCAAATGGGCCTAGTAATTGAACAAATGGATGTTGAAACAGCCTTTTTAAATGGTAAAGTAATTTCTGAAGTTTATATTAAACAACCTAAGGGTTATGAAGATGGAACAAGTAAAGTTTGTAAATTAGTTAAAGCTTTATATGGTTTAAAAGAAAGTCCAAGGGCATGGTATGAGTGCCTAGATACATTTTTGATAAATTTAGGTTTTGAAAGAAGTAATATTGATCCTTGTTTGTACGTTTATAAAATTGGAAATGATATTATTTACTTATTAATTTATGTCGATGATTTATTGATTTGTGGTAGAAATTTAAATGAAATTAAAAGGATTAAAATTTTATTATCAGAAAAATTTAAAATGAAAGATATTGGTGAAATTAAAGAATATCTTGGTATTACTGTTGATTATGATTCTAGTAAACATGAAATGAGATTGGATCAAAATAAATATATTGAATTATTAAGGAAAAAATATAATTTAGAAAAAGGTAAACTGTATAATACACCTATGGAAGTAAATTTAAAAATTGATAAATCTGATCATTGTGAAAGAAATATTAAATATAAAAATTTAATTGGTGCACTATTATACATAAGTTCGGCAACAAGGCCTGATATAAGTTTCAGCGTAAATTATCTGAGTAGATTTCAAAATTGCTATAATGAAACGCACTTTAAATATGCTGTACGAATTTTGAAATATTTATGCTTAACTAAAGATTTAAAATTGTTTTATAACAGAAATGAAAAAGTAAGTATTATTGATTGTTATGTGGATGCCGATTGGGCAGGTGATCATTTAGATAGAAAGTCTACAACTGGTTTTGTAATAAGATTGTTTGGTAATGTAATTTATTGGAAATCTAGAAAACAAAAAAGCGTTACAAAAGCTTCAACTTTTGCAGAGTATGTAGCATTGTCAGAAGCAGTAAGTGAATTGATATTTGTAAAAGAATTGTTGAAAATATTTGATATTGAAATAATAAAGCCAATTGATGTTTATGAAGATAACACTGGTACAATTAGTATAGCTAATTATGGCAATTTTACAAAAAATTCTAAGCATGTTGAAATTCATTATCATTATGTAAATGATTATGTTAAAGCAAATGTTATAAATGTGGTTAAAGTAGATTCTGATGATAATATTGCAGATATTTTTACGAAGTCCTTGGGCCAAGATAAATTTGAAAAATTTCGAAGTATGTTAAATTTGAATTAATGTAAATACAATGTAAATGTAAGGAGGCGTGTTGAGAATGTAATACATTTATATTGTATACACAGATATATTGGTGTAAGAGTAAGCGGAACGCACCCATAGTGTCATGGGTTGACATGACAGACAATAATAGTAATGTCAATGAGTATCATGTAGTTGTAGGTAGTAGTAAGAAGTATGGTGGCTTAAGTTAGGTTAGTTAATTAGTATGTATGTTATAGGAAATAAAGCCTTTTATAATAGTAGTAAAGTACGACTATTTATTTTCCAAATCCACACCTTAACAGAAAGAAGATTAAATATGCACAAAACAACAAAATTCTACAAGTATGATATGCGTCGATTTACAAAAATGCCTCCCAACACCAGTGTTAACCAACGCGCAAAGCTTTTACTCTTTAAAACTTTGGACTTATAATTACACAATTTATGATGCCACTAATAATGCTACTACTTGTTTGATGTGGGACGAGTCTAAATAAGGACGCGGTGCAAATGAAATGGCATCAGGATTGCTAAAGTGGACATTATCACATGTTAAACCTCACCAAAACGAAATTATTGTATGATCTGATAACTGTCCATCTCAAAATCGAAACATTCGAACAATCGAACATACACATTGTTATAGTTATAGCTTATTTTTATATATTAAAAAAAATTCCAACGTTGAAAACCATTACACATAAATTCTTATTGCGTGGTCATACTCACTTAGAAGTTGATGCTTGTCATTCATTAATAGAATGCAAAAAAAGAAGAGTGCTGGTTTTCAAATCATGTCTCCTTGGAACTGGCAACAATTAGCTAGAATTTGTAGCCTAACTAATCCGTTCGAGGTGATTAATATGGAGACATGCGATTTCAAAGATTTTAAGCAATTATATAGCAATATCAGTCTCCATTGTTGTCTAGACAAAAAATGAGGATGGCATGGATGTCTCATCAAAAATGGTATATTTACAAATAAGGGCAGAAAAGTATGGCACACTGTACTATAAAACTAATTTTCAAGAAAAGGAATTTCAGGCAGTCAATTTAATTCGAACTTGAAGGAGAGTCGTATTTCCTGAGGAAATACAAACTATAAGAGATGGCGATAATCCAATCTCCGAAAAACAATACAAGCATCTTTAGACATTATTGAAACGGGTTCCAAAGCATTTCCATGACTTTTATGTAAACCTAAAGCATAGCAGCATACATGAAGATAATGATAACCATACCCAATAATTTGTGTTCATTTTGTAACTGGCATTGAATAACTACAATATTAGTTTCATATTTTCTATTAAAGCTTTTTTATCAATAAAAATTGTTATTTTATTTTGTGCTTTGTTCAAATAATAACCATAACTTGTTTGGACTTCACTTTGGAATTGTAACATAACATTTATGCTTATAATGTTAAGTCTTTAAAATTGACTTGGTATTAATATAAAATTGTATTATGTTCAAAACCAAAAAAATTATGGATTTTTGTCAAATCACTATTTGAATTTCGTGCTTCAATTACTTGAAATTCAGTAGTTGATAGATCATGGATTCAAAAAAAAATTGGTGTCACAGAGGAAGAAAAATACTAGGCCTTAACTTAAAAACTTCACATTGATAAACTTCAAACCGCTCTCTTAAAAAATCGATATTTTGGACTTAGTACACCTTTATTCTGGGGTACAGATATATATATATATATATATATATATAAATATATATATATATATATATATATATATATATATATATATATATATATATATTGTTATGACAAAGAAGAAGAATAGTAACAAAGTATAAATAAGTACCTAAAAATATTGCTTATGAAAAGTGAACATACATACATGAGTAAGCAGGTACGCGGATACGATACTAATAGCTTACATTTAGGTATACAAAACCAAACCAAGAAAATACTTTTGGATATTAATACGATTTAATTGTCTTACCTTCCACTTCACTACTATTCATTTTTGACACATCTACTGAACTGTTAAAATATATTCACTAGTTATTGATCAAACCAACATTGAACCTAACAACCAGAGTAACCACGTGGATATTGGTTGCTATGGGATACTATGAAATTGAAAATTTTTGAGACTTAAGGGTAAAAAAAATGTTAGTGTTTAGATTTCTCATAGAAAAAATGGATGAAGTCCAACCGATGAGAATTCTAAGAGATAAATAACTACATACCCAAAACCAAATAAACGTTTAACAAAGAACATGTATTCTGTAAATAAAATTATAAATATGTATATAATAGAAAAAATATTGGCACGAAAGAGAGAGAGAGAGAAACAATAAGTATATATAAAATAAATATATACAGGGTTGAGATAAAGTATGGAATCAAGTAAATATTGTTACGAACATGCATTCGGCGTGGCCCGTATAACGGTTGCACCTCGAAAGGGCATGGCATCGAGAACTTTAAACAGATGTTGTCCAACTACGAATTAGAGGTGGTTCCAGACACCAGATGATTCTAGAACAATACTTTTGGTGTATATATATGTAACGATGTTATGAGTTGAGTTTAGTTGTTAAGACATTACCGAACTGTAAACTTATAAATATATATATTTATATAAATTCGAACCGCTCGTTTTATTTAAAAACGGTACAGTTGGTGTCACAGTGTGAGTACAATTGATTTATTTAAAAATAAATTCAGCAGTGACTTTAAAAAAAGAAAAGACTTTTGAAAAGTATTGTTATTATTTATTTATTTTTATATATTTATTTATTTTGTAAAGAATATCCTCCAAGAACGACTAAAGAATGTTCTTAACAAGAATGAAATTCGAGAACGTCTAGAAAAGATTCGATGAAACGTCTCAAATTATTATAGAAATAGCTAGACAAAATGACGAGAAAAGAAGTATGTATTCAGAACAATGAGAAATTTGAAAAGTCTCTAAAACATTCGATAAAATAGAAGAGAAGATCAAACAGTAAGAGAGCATGATAACCAATACAAAAGTGCTACCCACATTTAATACAGTAGTCTTAGATCCGGTAGTGAAAGAAGAGTCACCTAGAGACGAAACGACACATTATATGCTATTCAAATTGCCACAATTTGATGGAAAGTCTTCTTGGTCCATATACCTTAGACAATTTGAAGCTATTGCGACAGCCAATCATTGGACAGAACAAGAAAAAGCTGTTTCCTTAACTGCTGCTTTACGAGGTGATGCTGCGGATATCCTATGATCGATTCCTAAGGGTCAAGAAAAATGTTACCAGACCTTGTTCACTCGACTAGACAAACGTTACGGAGATGCCCATCTACAACAAGTCTACAAAGCGCAACTAAGAAGTAGAATTCAACGAGCAAGTGAAAATTTGTAAGAGTTTGAAGCAGATGTTGGTCGTATAGTGCAGTTAGTTTATCCAGAGGCACCAGACAACATGTTGGAAGAAATTGCTGTAGATATCTTTGTCAATGGGTTAAAAGACAATGAATTACAGAAAGCTTTACGACTATCAAGACCGAAAGTTCTATATGAAGCGCTCGCTATTGCCTTGGAACATGAAACAGCTAGTCAAACTTCACGGACCCATCGAGTAAGAACCATTGAAGAAGGCAACGAACCAAACGATGAACGTCTGGAAGAAATGGTACGAAAAGTAGGTAGGTAGTTCGTAACACGATGCCGAAGATACGCGAGCCCAGATGTTTAAATTTTGGTGATGTAGGTCACATTCGCCGTAATTGCAAGAAAATGACATAACAGTCGGAAAACTAGAACGGGTCGACACCAAGGGGCAACTGCCGACCTCGAGAAACACAGCCCTCATAGTAACTGTGAATATTACGTCCTCCGGTGGAATTCATAGCTTGTACATCGAGGGTCGTATCAATAATAAATGTAGATCGTTTTTGGTAGATACAAGTGCAACAAGAACTAATTCTGGTGAGATAATTAATACATATGGCGAGGCTAATATGTCAGTATCCATTGGACATTAATTGCAGAGATCTCCGACGAGTTCATATTGGGGATGGATTTACTAAGGAAAGTTGGGGCTGTATTGAATGTCAAAAATGGAGTTCTCGAGATCAGTGGTGAAGAGTGTCCGTTTCATGAAGACAAAGAAGATGTTATCAGCTTAATAACTGTTTGTGACGTAACAATACCCGGTAATAGTGAGAAAATTTTGATGACCAGACCTGATGGTTACTGCCGAGAGGGAAGTTTAAGGATGGTCGAAGCTGTGAACAATGCCGAGTTCCTAACGGCAAAAGCTTTGGTGAGAATTCGAGATGTCGTTATTGTAAGAGTTATGAATTTAAAGGGAACTGCTATTAAGTTAAGTAAAAGAACTTTGATCGGACAGTGTGTACCCGTGGCTTCGATTTGTTCAATGAATACTAATGAGAAACCATCGAAATCTAAGTATCCAAAGGAGCTTGTTGAGATGGTGATTAAAACATGCTAAGATATTGATGATGAACGAACTAAAAAAGTGAAGTCTATGCTGATAGAATTTCAAGATGTCTTTGCCATTGATAAGAATGATAAAGGCAAAACAAGCATAGTAAAGCATAAAATTAATACCAGAGACGCTCATCCAATCAGACAACAACCTAGACGACTTCCATTTGCAAAAAGAGATGAAGCCAAAGACATCATCAAAGATATGAATAAAACAAGGGGTAATCGAACCATCAAACAGTCCATGGACATTTCCAAGAACGATTTCCGAAGTGAAAATTGAAACGTCAATAAACGTATTTTAACCTTTAATTGTGGCTTATTCCCATTTAAATAGCAATTACTTTAAAATGCCACAAGAAAATAGCTTCAGAACAATCCTATGGAAAGAGTAGCAATCGACATTGCAGGTCCACTTCCAGAGACAAACGATGGAAATAAATATATCCTGGTAGCCATGGATTATTTTACGAAATGGACTGGGGCCTATGCTATACCAAATCAAGAAACTGCTACCATTGCAGAGGTACTTGTTAAAAAATTCTTTAGCCGATTTGGTGTTCTTTTGGAGATCCACTCCGACCAAGGGCGAAACTTCGAGTCAACCCTTTTCCAAAACTTTTGTAAATTGATTGGTGTCAATAAGGCCAGAACGACACCCACTCCTGCATCCTCAATCAGATGGAATGCACATTCATTTATTCCTAATGGCCTACCGCTCGACCGTGAATGAAACTACAGGCCTGATAATAGGTCGTGAAGTTCGTTTGCCCTGCAACTTAGAGTTTGGCTGCAGACCTTCCGAAGAACATGTTGCAAGCGAAGATTATGTCGACCGATTGAAGTTAAGAATGAACAACATTCATGAACTTGCCCGACAACACATCTAGTTAGCCAGTGACAGAATGAAAGATCAATATGATTCTTGATGCAAGAATGAAAGCTATGAAGTAGGTGATCTTGTTTGGCTTTATAGTCCACAACGTGGTCGTGGCTTGTCTCCTAAACTAGAAAGACAATGTGAGGGACCGTATGAAATTAAAAAGGGAATAAATGACGTAATATACCGAATTAAGAAGTTGCCGAAAGGCAAACCAAAAGTAGTTCACATAAATCGTCTTGCACCTTATGCTGGCTCAAATGAAACAGAAGAAGCCCGAACCCTTCAACATGAGATCAAAGATGACCGGCGACCAAGCTTTAAGTTATGTCAAATTACGCAGAGAGAAAAAGTTCTAGATTCGGCGTGGCCACAGAAGTTCAGCAGGATCTTTTTAGTGTTCCACATAACGTATCTCTGGCTCACTGTGTTATCCAAGATCTTGAGACGACTAAAGAAATCTCATCCGTATTTTATAAGAGGTTTGGTCGTTTGAACGAGTTAAAAAGTCAGCAGCCTAAAGTTGGGAAAGTACTGATATTAGAATATGGTCCTTGATCTTTGCTGTATATGGTGACCAGGAAGTCGTATACACACAGGGCAACCTACGAGGATATATGGCGTGCTCTAACTAATTTGAAGAAAATCGTCTGCGACATCTAGAATTTGGCCTTACCCAAGATAGGCCATGCACTAGATAATCTGGATTGGAAGATTGTCAGATGCTTGCTTAAAGTGATCTTCCGAGAAACCGGCGTAAGAATTACTGTGTTGCATTAATCCGAAGAGATCGTGTCCTTCAAAGACAGTAGACTGTTATTTCTTTCTGAGAGGTTCATGCAGAGCTAGAGAGTCCTGTAGATTCCGCCACCCTGGGCCTACATATAGAGCTGCTGATCGGGACGCTCAGATCTAAGAGGGGAGCAGTGTTACGAACATGCATTCACCGTGGCCCGTATAACGGTTGCATCTCGAAAGGGCATCGATAACTTTCCACAGATGAATCGAGCGCATGCGAGGATCGACCAGTCAAACAACGAATTAGAGGTGGGACTACACCAGATGATTCTAGAACAACACTTTTGGTATATATATGTAACGATGTTATGAGTTGAGTTTAGTTGTTAAGATATTACCGAACTGTAAACTTATAAATAAATATATTTATATAGATTCAAACCGCTCGTTTTATTTAAAAACGGTACAATATCTTTGAAACAAAAAGACGATATTCATTAAACTTTGCATGCAAGTACAATGACATATAATGCATCGGATACCATATTTTTTGTTATTACTCATTTTTGGTTTCACCGGAAATGCTCTCAACTTTTTAAATTTAAATGGAACACTCTGTATAGTTCTACAGACTTTAAAAGAACTTGTTATTCCTAATTCACACATAAAAAGTTTGATAGAAAACATTATTAAAACGGGAAATATACTACTTACAGTTAAAGAATAAGGTTCATATGTTCATTCATTTACAGAAAAAATATTAAAATGAGCAGTATAGGCTAGTTTAAAGTTAAAGGATAGGTTCATTCATACTAAGGTACTAAGACCAGTGAGAATAATGATTATTCATAAATTCGTGACTTACTCTTTCCAAGACTTCACGTATTAGTTCACATTCCAACCATCAA